AGCTATTTATATATATACGGGTTAGTGGTGCATTGTGGTATTCTATTATGGCGGTTATTTTTTACCGGAAGTCGCTTTGTTTATTTATTTGGGTCAAATTATATTGCTCGTTTTTATTTTTGTTTCTTATTTTATTTATTTATTTATTAACGTAGTAAAACTTTGTTTATATTACGTATTTAACAGTTTTGTTTTGGTTTGAGAATTTGATTAAAAAGCTATTTGTTCAATTTTGGGGTTGGTTGTTGTAGTTCATTCTAACTATTATTTTTTTGGCGGAACAGTTTTTAATTTGGGATTGGTTTGAATTTAGGTCAATTTATTTGTATATTTTTTTCTTTTCGGTTTTCGGTTTTAAGCAACAAAGTATTTAGTTATTTTATTTTATTTTATTTTTTTTTTAGTGTATTTGTTTGTTTTTTATTTTTCCGTTTTTCATTTTTTTAGGTTACGTAGTAAAATTTATTTTCATGCCTGCATTTTGAGATGAGCTCGGATCTTTTATTTAATAATTTATTTTGGTCGGGGGAAGGTAATGATAGCTATTTTTTCCTCCAAGCAAAGTTTGCAAGTTTTTGATTGGTTGTTGTAGGCTGATGACTTTTTTCCTTATCTTCCAAGATATTTTTGGTGTGATGTGCGTTTTGTTTTTTTTTTCCCAGATATACTTAGAAAGCATAGTACTGTTCGTATATTTACTATTTGTGAACGATGTTTTGTGTGTATAATTTCTTTGTTTCCAGGGTCCTTCAGTTACTCCTATGTATTTTTCTTCATTATCTGGTGATTTTATCGTGGCTTGGTATATTACGTTGTTTTGTAAACAATTTCCGTTTATTCGTTCTTTATTCTGCAGTTGCACGGGTTTAATTTGTTCGTGTGGTTTGTTGATAATTTTCCTATTGTGCTTTTTTATTATTTGTTATGCTCTCGGTGCAGCTGTAGCTGATTTTTACTGTGTTTTTTGTTGAATATCTTGTAAGGTGCTTGATTCTGGGAAGTGTTTGTGTAAGAGTTTGAGGAATATTTTTCCTACGTTT